TACTCCTCTTGGGCATCTGATTCAATCTCTGGAGTTTCCAGGAGTCCATGTTTTATGTCCCGGTCACAAATTTACATTATTATAAATTTTTTTTTTTTTTTTTAAGAATTTTGAGTTCACTCACTTTTTTCATTTTGGTTGAAAATTACGTTTACTGGTACATTTTGTAAAGAAAATCTAGTCGATTGATCGAACCTGTACCTCGGCTTATAAATTATAGTGGAAAGGCCTACGTCTTCCTTTTCAGTTATTCCATTGATTTCATAGAGAAAGATTACCAAACTTAATTAAGATCAATAGTATTTAAATAAGACTATATGCTATTGTCAATTCCCTTTTCATGTTATGTTTTGGCAGTCGTAGGACATCAAAAAAATTTTATAATGAATAATTAAAAAAAAAAATATTAAAACTAATGAATAATGATAAAAAAGTGTCATTTTTTAACTGTGTGATGAATTAGGGATGTAGAATCTTGACAATATACAAGGGCTAAAACTGTTGAATAAAACTAGTGACTCTCAATTTTCAAGCTGGATATAGTATTTACTAATACGAATCTGATGATATTTCCCGTTTTTGTTAAGTTTTGTAGATTGATCCTTCACCGGTTTATAAAAATACTAGTATTGCCCGTGGCGATAATATGAGAAACGCTCACTATATACATGTATAAGTGAAAAGTAGTACAATATTGATTGCATATTAAAGCCTTCTTTGTACAGTTTAGAAATGAAAAATAATATAATTTCTTTTTGCGATGGGTCTTTAGAAAACCCGAGACCTCCCTTCCTTTCTTGATTTAGTTTTTTTTTTTTTTTTTTTTTTTTTTTTTTTTTTTTTTTGGGGTGGGGTGGGGTGGGGTGGGGTGGGGAGTGGGGTAGGAGGGGGGGGGTTACAAAAGTTCATTGACAAGCAAAAAGACAAAAAAAGGTCAACCGTGTGACTTTCTGCTTAAATAGTTTATGATGAAATATATGGAGATAACGAACATTATTCAAGCTCAAAAGTCCATTAATGAATACAAAATAGAAGCAGAGCAAACACGGACCTCCAAACATCAAAGGTGGGATCAGGTGCCATGGAGGAGTGAGCATCCCCTGCCGACCGGTCACACCCGCCGTGTGCTCCTTGTCATCATCGGGAAATAACGGAAAATCCGTCGACAATTCAGTGTGTAAATAATGGCCTAACAATTAGTATGAAAAACGTCAGTCAGCATTTGACCCAATGATTAATTGTATTTGCTGACAAGGTCATTGTTTGGACCATAGAACTTACGAAATGACGACTTTAAACGAGACAGCTGATATTCTTGTTTCATCAACTTATTTGGCAATGATTTACCTCGTTTTAGAAATTGTACATACGTAGAGCATGCTCTTGCGTATCGAATCAACTGAGAGATATATACCCCGTATGCAGGTGATGAAGGTATATTGCTGCATAAGTAAGGGAATTTGACGATTGAAAAGTTAAAGTCATCACGTTTATCATAAAGCTTGGTTATTAGATTACCATTAACGTCTTTTTCAAGTAAAGTATCCAAATATAAAACAGATGTGTCAGACTCTGTGGTATCTTTTATCTCAAGTTCACAAGGATATATCGTATCGACATAAGAATGGAAATGGCCATTGTTAATTGACAACACGTCGTCGATATATCGCATGTATTAGGGAAACATTTACCCCGTAGCTCCCCCTCCCCCTTTCCTCTCTTCTGGTTCCTACGGACAGGGGAAATATAAATACATACATCTGTTGTATACATGTGTATTTTTTTAATGAATAAATCATATTTGTAAACGTCGATTTATTTTATATGCGCAGATGTGTTAAGGAGGATAATCTGATTTGACTAAATCAGTGAAACGATATGACGTCATAGTAGACGAGATGACGTCAATTTTAGAACACACAATTTCTAAATATTGTTATTTAGAAATATAATTTAACTCTTGAAAATGAATAGAAACTTGCAAATTTTCACAAAAATGAAATGTTTATATTTTGTTATGCTGTATCTGTCACTTTAATTAAAAAACTCCTACCGATGACGTCATGTCCGTTCAACAAGTAACTTGAGATTGTTCATGTTGTATTTAAGGAGAATTTGGCTTAGACGGCATGTAAATAGATACGTAAAAGGGGGTGTAGAAGCAAATACCGTGAATATTGTGTGTGATTCATGTGAAGTTAACGTTTGTTAAACAGGTATGTTAATTCATTTTCATCAATTATATCTTTTATTGAAGACAGTCAGCTATTTAATATCCCGGTCGGCTTTTCCTCTGTCATTTGTGACAACAATAATGCAAAAGAACAACACTAAGCTGGATACTTCAAAACATAATATATTTGTACATATCGAAAGTTTGCGTGCTATAATACTTGGTAAGTGCTGCTAGAATCGTGTGGTAAACTTGGTTTGAAGAAATATCTTGGGTTATATGTACAAAATGCAAAAGATTGGGTAAGGTTTCGTGCGAATATGTGGAATAATTTTTTCTCGACCGGACAGTGGGATTCTAGCAGTACCTTTGAGGCATAAGAGATGTTTTTCAACTATATTATTTACTCAAAGAAATTATGAAACTCCTGGGTATTGTTGTTATGTTGACTTTTTTATTAGGGAATATTTTGCTATTAATAGCAGTCACGTGATGACGTTGAGGTGGTGCACTTCTTGGTCTCAGACATTCTGCCGACTTCATGCAATAGTTAATAATAGTTTACGTTTTATGGGCGACCTTGATAAATTATCAAAATTAATTTTCTTTAAAAAGTCCAAATTTTCCGAGAAACGATTTCTATGCTTCCTTAACATACCTGCGTGTGTTTTGATGGTTTTAAATTTTGACCCGGTTAATGATCAAAATTCAACGACCCAACCAAAATTTCAACAGTCTAGGGTCAGAAGACAACACTGATGGTTTCAATATTCAACGTTAAAAAAGACCCTCCGGGTCAGTTTTCAACCAGGGTCAAAATGCCAAGTTACACCGACAATAAATCGCGAGGAACTTGTTCGTCTTTCTAAACCATTGAAAATGGACAATAAATATGTAAATATTGTAATACGATTTTTTTTTTTGGAAGTTTGCTGTTCTGTATTAGATATACATGTACTGTGAAGGACCAGTGCATGCGAACCTATTTTCCGTTCTGTCTTAGCCCTTAATACTGTGTTGTATTAGCCAACTATCCTGCATTTAAAATACAGACGAACTAGAACTAAATCATTTGTTTCAATATATCAAAAGCAGTACAAATTATTCTTATTATGAGATTTGGATGAATATTACCTTATGAAGTAAAACGTCAAATTTTCTCAATCACTTTTAAAAATTTGTTCCGGACAGAATCTACAAGTGACTTGATCCAAATGAAAAAAGAAAATTGACAATTTTGGCAAGTTGATACTGTGCTGGATAAATTCCTCAAAACCTGTTTGCTTTCCCTGCATAGTGTGTGAGTGTGTGTGAGGGTGTGTGTGTGTGTGTGTGTGTTCCCTTCAAATGGTACATTTAAAGCTACCGTCTCACGGTTTCAGCATCCATTAATGAAATTCTATACCTCCTCCCCCTTTCCACTCTGCTCGTGCCATTTTTTTTCTCAATCATTAATCTCGATTTTTGTTGTATAATGTGTTCTGATTTTTTAAAATTCTTACATCCTCATCCTTGACGACTCACCTAAATCTCTTTCACTTAGCTTTTAACATTGGATGAAAACCCAACAAAACAAACAAAAAGAAATCCCTGACATCATAGTCCATAGAAGAGCTGTTTATATCGCCTGTATTCATATGAAGGTTAACTTAGATTTAGAAACCCATCAAATACACCATAATCAATCTCAATAATGAAATAAATCTGGAAGAGGGTTGGATCGTCCACCTTATCCGTAAAGAAACCAAGAGAGCTAAAAATAATGTACATCTACTCCGTATCTGACTGAATCTTACGTTGTCCGCGGATACTGAGTATTTTGCACAGTTTAAAGTGTGAGGTGCTTATTCTGATTGAATAGTGTCACAAATCATTTAGAGAACTTGACATGTTCTCTATCGTAGATGTAAATTCGGGGGTGGAGACTCATACTACGCACTCGTCAAACTAAAGTTATATCTATGATAGAAAACCTTTCGTGTTCTCTAAACAATATTTGTGTCACAATGGCGTTGTTTTTGTTTGAAGTTTACTGTCCTGTATTAGCAATACAGCACAGGACTACGGTAAGCGGAGCTATTTTCTGTACTGTATTACATTGTACCTAACTCCGTATATGATATGTTGTATTATTCAACTGTTCTGTATCTGAAATACAGAACAATTTAAAAATAAATATGCTTCAATATATCAAAAGCATAACTAGTTACGATTGTTTTTTTTTTTTTTTTTTTTTTGTTTTGTTTTGTTTTTTTTTTTAATGTTTTTTTTTTCTATTTGGAATATTTGAATTAAAAATTCCTTGTAAAAGTAAATGTCAAAGTTTTTCATAACTTTTTAAAATCAATTCCGCCCAAAATGTACACGTTACTTCGATCCAAACAAAAAAGCAGTTATGGGAAACCGATGTTATGTTGGATTAATCTCTCAAAAAGTGATCGCTTTTCGTCCATAGCTTTGATATATCTCTTTAAGAATAAATCATTTTCGAAAGAATACGGCATCCAAGCCATGTTAAGAGCAGTCATTGCCTAATAATTCATCTGTAAATTTGATTTTTAAAACATAACACATTGGCAAAAAGATAACTTTCTTTCTAAACGGTAAACTGACTGATTCATTTTATTAGAATTTACGAATTTAATGAAATTAAATTGATTTGTCATTCAAAATATGAACACACACACACACACACCCTCACACACACACACACACACACACTGATTGTTTTCTTCAAATCTTATTTTTAGTTCAATGTTTTGCAAAAGTGGATTTGGTTTTCGCTCTGGATTCGTCCAATAGCGTGAGCAGCGATGACCACAAGAAAATGAAAGTATTCGTCAAGAAGTTCCTTCACTCTGCAAACATAGATGACGGGGAAGTGAGAGTCGGTCTTCTGTCCTACAGTACCCAGGTTACGGTAGAATTTCAGCTTAACACTTATAAAACAAAAGCAGAGTTGTTTGACGCCATTGACCGTGTTCCTTGGACATATGGAGCTACAAACACCGCTGATGGACTGAAAACAATGCATGAAGAAATGTTCTCTGAAGGCAATGGTGACAGACCAGGTGTTCCAAACATATGTGTTGTCATTACTGATGGCGTATCCAATATCAATCATCGAAGGACAATTCCTGAGGCAAAACAAGCCAGAAGAAAGAGAATACATATTTTTGCCATTGGTATCGCACTTAAGGATTTGAGGGAAATAAATGGCATTGCTAGCCAGCCTGCCAGCGTGAATGCGTTTGCAATTGATTCCTTTGATGAATTAGAAGGTTTAAATGAGAAGATCTCTAATTCCGTCTGTCCAGGTATCTTTTATTTAAATTTACTCTCATGACTGTTTTTGTTCATTTCTAGAATAATTTAATGATATTTGCGCCAACATTTTCTTTGTAGTTTATTTTAGCAATATTTTTATTGTGTGGAATTGATATTACATGTATTAACAGATAAATCAATCACGCACATTTACTCTACACCCACTACCGGAAGTGTTGCAGTATTATTTGAAAAAAAATTTAGGCAACAGAAATTTGTCGTAAAATTTCTTTCTCGTAATGAAAGTTTTTTAAACTTTTTTTTTTTTTTTTTTAAAGTTATTTTGAAATATCTCCTTTATTTAGTTGCTTTCTGTGTACGTGTGTGCATAGGAGAATTTGATACAAGTGATATAGGGATAGCTGAAGTTTACTATTATTATTCTTTAATCTTCCACCACTTTTATACCCAAGAGTGTTTGGAATTTGCATGAAACATTTATTCATAAATTTATTAAACACTTAAGGTTATTGTGTAGAATTTTTCAAGAACTCTTGAGTGGATTTAGATGTACTAAACAGGCTATATTCTGGATCGTTTGACCTACCAATAAAGCATTCTTTTTAAGATTTTTTCAAATTAGTGTTTTTACAATTTTTAATGCATTTCCTATGTAAAATGTTGATAAAATGGACGTACATAATTTTTCACCATAATATTTCTTCAAAACCCATTTATTTCATACAGTTTTCGTATTATATAGATTATTGTATCTTCATTTCCTTTGACTTCTAGATATTTTGGCTGGAAATAATATAGTAATAAATTAATATAGAAAGCACAAAGAAATTAACTTTTATAAGGATACCCACTTCCGCCCCAGCCCGGGATTGAACTCTCGACCTACGGAATCTGTCTCCTAGCAGTACAGGAACAGCGCGCTAAACCGCTCGGCTATCTAGGCAAGTCAAAAAACTTGCTTTAGATTAATATTTCTTCACTTAGGGCAGTTATGTTAGTTTAAGAGTTGTTGTAAAATGTGCTTTATAAATATAAATTAATTTCATTACGACATGTATTGGTAACGATCCTCTAATAAAACTAATGTCCAAATAACTGTATCTCACGTCCATTCTCAATGACCGTGTAGTACAGACCAGCGCCGCGAGAATTCCATCGGCATCGAAAGCAAGTTTTTTGACTTGCCTAGATAGCCGAGCGGCCTAGCGCGCTGTTCCTGTATTGCTAGGAGACAGATTCCGTAGGTCGAGAGTTCAACCCCGGGCTGGGGCGGAAGTGGGTATCCTTATAAAAGTGAATTTCTTTGTGCTTTCTATATTAACATTTCTTCACTTAGGGCAGTTATGTTAGTTTAAGAGTTGTTGTAAAATGTGCTTTATATATATATATATATATATATATATATATATATATATATATATATATATATATATATATATATATATATATATATATATATATATATATATATATTAAAAATGTTTTTGTAAAAATTTCATTTGTACTGTGGCCCTGTCTGAACCCAAATGTCAAGATTTGAACAAACTTGCATCTACACTACATGGAATGCTACCATATTAATATGATTCATCATAGCTTTGCTTTTTTTTAGGACTTTTTCCTAGATATTTTTATGTAAAACTTTGATCTCTATTGAGGCCCCACCTTATCCCCAGAGATCATGATCTGAAGAAATCTGAATCTACACTACCTATTGATGCTTTTATTCATGGCTTTGCTGATCTTGATAAGGCTACAAGAAGGATACAGACTCCTCTCAAAATAAAATAGGGTTAGATAATTTATGAAAAACAACAACACTTGTTACTTCTGTACTGAACTTCCTCTTTTTTGGTTGACATTTTTGCCCATTAATACCCGAATTTATTTATCGTAACATATCACAGCCTGGCTGTGCCTTTTTGGAAAAATCATGATTTATTTTAACTGCTACTGTAATAATATGAAAAAAAAATATTGGCCAAATACGAAATATTAGACTTATCACCGATTTCCTGATTCTGACGTGGACCTGTACTTGCGTAGTTCTTGAGATTTCAGCCGGACAGAAGTCACTCCAAATATCAATTAAAGGGCAATAATCACAAACGGAAGCATAAATAAAAAAATGAAAAGAGACCGTTTAAGGACTTAAGATAATGTATCCATCCTGAAAATTTAATAACAATTAGGCAAAAAGTCTCCGAGAAATCGGCTGAAAAAACTTTGTTGGGAAAAAAGTAACTAGAGCAAAGCTCATTTCAAAGCAACGAGTGGATCTTCCGAGGGACGACAAATGTCGAAATATGTGTAGAGTTTTTTCTCAAAAGAATAAAACGTAAGCAAACTCTAGAGAATTATATTTGAAAAAAAAAATATTCATTTTTGGGGAATTTTGGGTTCCAACTTCCTGGCTGTCCAGTTGCCACTTTCAGTTGAAAACAGAAGTAAGCAGCACAGTTAAGGCTACAAAAAGGAGGCGGGGCAAAATTTTTACTGGATATGCTTACTATGAAGTCACACAAAAATATGAGTTCTTCAAATTACCACAAAATGAAATGATTAGCTATTTTAAACTATTGGATAGCTTTAAACTAAATCCATGCTTACTACTGCATGCATTGTTGTCCTTCGTAGAATCCCACAAAGCAAAATATAAATAATTCAATGATCGAAACGCACTTGTCAATGTGACGTCAGACCGTAAAATTTGACGCAGTGTGTATGCAGTCATCCATATTTTTGTAATCAGATTCAATATTATTTGCAGATATATTGCTTAGAAATTTAACTTGGTTATGACCTTGGAATTTAAAGATGACCGCTATACTGCACATACATTTACTAAGATCACGTAACTTCCACATGTGACAAGTCTGAATAAGAAATCTAATCGTCGTCATCATGTAGTTGTGATCCATATTATATTTGTCCAATAACAGTGAAGTCCTAAAAAGAATCCCCATCGTTGTTAAGATTGTATTCTCTATCTAAAAAAATCGATGATATTTCCATTTGGAACCTTAACTGTACTGCGTAAAAGAGATAGAAATCATAAGCCTGAAAGGCTTCAATCATTTTTCGATTTGGTTTATTTTTTTTATTTAAAAACAATTGTCTCAATTACCGGTTGAAGGCCTTATGCCATGGTTCGAATAGAATGGTGTTCGAATTAGCAAGAAAACGTCGAAGATAAATATGTTCATGCTGAATATTTGACTCATCTCTTCTCAATCAGTTGAAAAACTATGAAGGATTTAAAAAAATTATATATATTTAAAAAAAAGAAAAAAAAAATCTCTGAAAAAGGTTCACTACTTTACAGGAAATTGATTGCTTGTACAATGAAAAGGGAATAATAATAATAATAATAATAATAATAATAATAACTATAAACTTGTTGCCATGGCAACAAGAAGGACTTCCGTCCCTTCTCCGTCATGAGAGAAGTTGATTCCTCACTCATAACAATATCTGTATTATGTTGTGCATCCCTTTGAACTCCTTCATACATGAAATACTATAAAACGTAAATTGTAAAATATATCGCGCAATGCGAACGCAACATTATACCAGATATCATTTCTATGATACAGTATTATATTTCAGCTGAAAAAAAGGTACAAAAAAATTACCAAAAAAATCAGGACATTCTGGGGATTGAGTGCAGGTCGCCCGCTTGAAAATTGAACAAGCTAACCATTACGCTAGTGGTACCATTTCTTATAAGAGTCTTTATTATCCCTAGTAAAATCATTTTAAAATAGCAGTCCCGGGATTGCTTTCTTGGACTGCTTGGGTGTAAGGTTAAATCTGGTTGGTACTGTACTTTAGTTAACAAGTAGGAAGTTGAAACGAATTGAGAGGAAATGGAGAAGATAGGTAAGGAAAAGAAGAACTTACTTAGAGATAATGAAGTAAACATTAAGTGAAGGTGAGCGTAAACAGATTAACATTTAGCAAAAGGCCAGGAACTGTAGAATAATATGCACATGACTATTAGATAAGTTTATATGGAGAATAGGAAGAATATTCAGAAAAGAGTTTGCAATTTCTTCAAGAGAGTTTATCTTTGAATCATAGTAAAAAATCCTGTCCGTTAACAAGAGATAATTATTTTCAAAAATAAATATTACCCTTCGGCAGCCAGGATCCACCAGTCACTGTTCGATGTTGGGTTTTTACTTATATAGATGAGTATTGTATTAGAGATCAAAAGACCCAGACAAGCAATGTATCATGTTTTAACAATTAGAATTATTTACTTAACAATTTACATGAAATATTCAAACTGAGGATCGAAAACACCTGACATTTTATTTACTTATATTACAGAAGTATTATTCACATTTTACAAATATTTATTCATCATATTAAATAACAACAAATAGAAGCAGATGATTTTGCCCAGCAAAGCAACTCAATAGACATATCAACCAATTGCGGAACAATTATTCATCCGCAATTTACTACCACGTATTATCATTCACTTATTGCTCAGTTAATACCAATGTGCATTTGCTTGAATTTAGGACAAAGTTGTCTGAAGCATATTGAAGTAAATCAACCTGAGTCATACCTATATATTTTATTAAAATTTGCAGGCGACTTCTCATGGAAAAGTTTCGCATAGCCTTGCGAATCGCCATTCTTTATTTGAACACTTCTAAACATATGATTCCACCGATAATAACAAAATTGGTTAGACTCAGATAATTAAATTGCGGCAGATAATTCTCTGAACTTTTTTAAAAGAATTTTCATGATAAAAGCGTGCTTTCTTATTTTTGCGCACCGCAAGTGTTCGTGTTATCCAAGTAAGTTATGTTAAGGAATGTTAACTCAGTTTTTATGAATAAAATGATTAAATTTTATTCAATGTAGATGTTTCTCAACTCTGATAAAGATCCTGCAAACTATCTCAAACTGATGTGAGGTGTCCCAAATTGTCGTTTGAAATTTTTCAAATTTAAAAAAAAAAACAGGGCCCGATCCGAACACGGAACTTGAACAGCGCTATTTTCCAAATTCACCAAGGAAATTGATATTTTTATAGAATTAACTAGAGTCATTCAGATTATTTCTTAATTAAATAAGTAGCTGTCCGAATAGTTTGTACGTTACATCAGTATGGAATAGTGAATTTTGCAATATGAATATCTTTTACCTTAAATTGAGTAAATAATGCATTTAAAATATTTAATATATTGTTCATTCCTACCGGTATTGCGCAGTTACAAATGTTACGAGTTAAAAGTAAAAAAAAAATTCTAAAATATAAATTTATCAACCTAATATGTCTTAGTCATGATGCATCGAATTTTACAAAACACACTCTAGATTTAAATTTTGTATGAGAAATTAACATTCCATAATAAGCATTGTCTCAGCATATCGGACCTTCCTTTAATTCTGAGGTCACAGTCACCTTCGTTGGCTGGATTATTCTAGCATCATCTTACTTGACAAAAAGGGTTAAATTTTTTAATATTTAAATCTGAATGGTAGCTTTTTCGACTCCATATTTAAGGAATCTCAACTATAATAACTAATGTATATTATTTTCCTGTCTAAGTTCCGAGATGATTACGTCATATTCACGTTTAATTTACGTAGGAAAACTGTTTCTCTTTTTTTTATGATTAATTTCTTTGGTAATGCAAAGCTTAAGGTAAAACACAAAGAAGAAACTATAACCAAATCTATCTTGGTGCCCACTGTATTGATAGTCTTTCTGTAATCTGTGACCTGCTGATAATTTTCTTCATAAACTGATTCCTTTACCATAATTTAAAATACACCATTGCATCGTAAGCAATCAAAATCCTTAATAAATTGCCCTTGATAAGTTTGCATAAATAGAGGATATTCAATGTTTTGGAGATGAATATGGAATTTATTTCACGAGTGGGACAGGATTTTTTTTATATTTTCACGAGTGCGAAGCACGAGTGAAAATATCGAAAAATCCCGTCTCACGAGTGAAATAAATTCCATGTTCATCTACAAAACATTGAATTTTCTGTTTATTACATTTTCTTTGATTTTCCCTTTGCCTCTGTCTTTTCTTAACACAGTGTCATAGGCTTGACGTCATAGTTGAGCGGTTGAGACGTCATAACTTAGAAGTTGTGTGATTGAAAACATTACATAGCAAGGATTTTAGCAACATATTTGGGAAGAAATTTGCAGTTTTAGCTCTATCAAGATGCTTAGTTACTATTTCTATCTTATGACAGGCCAGAAATTATTTTTTACTTACTTTGATATCCTTTCACACTGTGAGAGAATATCATTTTTGGTATCCTTTCATACTGTGAGAGAATATCACTTTTATTCAATAAATAAATCACAGTATTTCACTGTTGAAAATGTAATAATACTTGTTATGTGTGTAGGTACGTAAGATATACATCTGACGAAAATAATTAATTTAAAGTAATAGTTAATAAAGAAATATTTACTTTTAAGTTAAACAGGTTCCAAACGTAGGGAACATTTTTTTTGCTTTAACACAGAGACAATTTCATAAGAGATCCGGTTGCACGAACGTTAGTTAAATTAACTTCCAGTTAGTGTCGTAACTAGCAGTTAAGTTTTTAACGACGATTTACGTAAATGTCAGTTGAAAAATTGCTGTTCGAATCGCTATTAATAATAAATTAGGTAACTCACAATTAATTGATGTGTTATAGTTTCTCTCTGTTAACATCGTTCTACAAGTACATTTACATTAGCTATGGAGACATATTTCTGACGCCATAATTCAAATGACGTAAATTCATAAATACTTATTGTCCCCCGCTTTCACTGAAAGTGAGGGATATTAATTTGGGTCTGTCTGTCCGTCCATCCGTCCGTCTCTCCGTCCGTCTGTATTTCTGTCTGTCTGTAACACTTTCTTTTCCGCGCGATATCTCAAACCCTTTGAGCTTTCGCAATGAAATTTTGCATGGCAACTCCCTATGGCCTATATAAGAACAATATTTATTGAGGTCAAAAGGTCAATGGTCAGGGTCATAAATTCATAAATTCTGTCTGTTTTAACACTTTCGTTTCCGCTCGATATCTCGAGACTCCTTTGAGCTTTTGCAATGAAATTTCACATAACAACTCCTTGGAGCCTAAGGAAGACCCCTATTGATTTTGAGGTCAAAAGGTCAAAGTTCAAGGTCGTAAATCCATACATTCCATCTGTGTGTAACCACGATAAAAGACATATGACTGTGTCCTTCTATAATTATAGATATAAATTAAAGACAAGATAGTGATTAAACTTATTTGTTTTTTACATTTCTGGGAGGGATATCATTATCGCTGCAGTATGAATTAGTGAAAAATCCTAAAAAGTCATCAATTAAAAAATGAAAAACAACTTGTCCAATAATTCCATTTGAGTTTTTGGCCCAAGTAGAATTTAGGAGAGAGAGAGAGAGAGAGAGAGAGAGAGAGAGAGAGAGAGAGAGAGAGAGAGAGAGAGAGAGAGAGAGAGATATTGCTCGAGGTATATAGGTCCATGATCTATTGATTTAATTAATGAACATGTATGTTGTAAGATCAGTAAATAATGATGACAAGTGGGAAACGACTGGATTAATATTCACAAATTTTCGGAGTTTTCAACATTTAAGACCATGCAAACATAACTCCTTCCCATTTCCTCCTCTCCCAGCCCCGGGTCTTTATGTTTACATCTTTTATAACTCAACGATATGAAACAAACTGTGAATAGTACAAAAATGTACATGTTCAAAAGTTTAATGACGGGTCTCTGAATGATTTTCATTTCCTAATTTTAGGTGGATGGGCTGACCCTACTATGGCGGTCATGAATATAATGTCAAGCAGATTATCACTGACACACTTTTGACGCAGGCCATATCATGATCATTTCCAGTTTCAGGATGAGGATGACTTCAAGGGGGTCATAAACTTTATACTTTTTAATGGATAATGACTCCAGAGATAATATTATATATGATTAGGGGAGACGTTTTCAACCATTTTCAATATATAGGATCATTTGAAGTTTAAAGGGTTGGGAAGGACTTCAGGGGGTCATGACCCCATATATCCTAATTAGTGCGTCAAAATGCAAAGATGTATTAGGGACTTTTGCTTTAATGAACGCTATGTTTATTTTTCCAGTTTCAAAGAGTGGGAATGACCCCAGGGACCTGCTTGAATGTATAATTTGAATATGACATTACAATGATCTTTGACCTTTTTCCAACCATTTTAATTTCTCATTATTTTACCCCGTTCTATACAAAACTTTTAAATGATTGATTGATTGACTGTATATTGTGTTACGTCCCATTCGAGAATTTTTTCACTCATATAGAGACGTCACCATATAACGGTGAAGGGGTTCAAATTTGATCGGCACTCAGGGCCATTGAGCAGTGAGGGTTCTTTATCGTGGCAACGCCTGCCGTGAGACGGGGCCTCGGTTTTTAAGGTCTCATCCGAAGGACCCTCACCTTTCACTTCAAAGTGCCGGGCGCATGGCGAAGGAACAGTTGCTACCCATTTTTATCGACTAAGGACAGTCACAGCCGAGATTCGAATCTCGGCTGTGACTGTCCTTAGTCGATAAAAATGGGTAGCAACTGTTCCTTCGCCATGCGCTCGGCACTTTGAAGTGAAAGGTGAGGGTCCTTCGGATGAGACCTTAAAAACCGAGGCCGACCTCCCGATCACGAAGCGAGAGCTCTACCGACTGAGTTACTGTGAACGGTACAAAACTTTTATAATAATATGTTCATAACGTACTTACGGGCCGTTATAGGTACATGTACTGTTAACTTCAGTAGAATAATAATAGAACTTCTGTAGAATAACAAATCCATTTAAAACGCACACTATTAATATTCCCACTGGTAAGAATGATGCACATACAGCATGTGCAATCCAATATGATGATAAGGGTAAAAGTAGTGATCGTAGTGCAACGTAATTCCAATGTCATGCACGGGCCTAGAATTTTCCAAAAAGGGGTACATTTGTAAATTTTATATTATAATTGCATACAATCTTTTATTTTTGAGTAGGTTTGTGTATGTATTCCAAATATAACAGGTAAACATTTTGTGGGTGGGAGCTGATTTTTGACAAAAGTTGGTCTGGTCAAGTTTTGGAAAGCGGTTCTCCGAGTCCTATCCAAATACAGATAAAAAAGTGCATTTTAAGTTCATTAAAAAGCTATACACTAAAATAATAATTTTTGTTGTTTTGACAATACATTCAAAAAAATCGCATTATGGGCCAAAAATTACCCCCCCCCCCTTCTTTTCTTTACACAAATCTTTCAGAAAATCTCTCCAACAGAATTTACATTATTAAATAATGTAATATTAGATTGGTAATGAAATTATTAAGATGACCATATTGGCTGCATGCTCACCTGAGAGTTTTATGTTTGATTCAAATGTTTTCTTCTTCCCTGGTTATCGGAATTTGAAGAGGAGCTCATTTAGAGGCAAACACCTTAGTGCGGGTATAACTGTCTCATGACAGCATTTAGTTTATTTATTTATTTATTTATTTATTTTTTTTTTATTTAGAGACACCTTTTTACTTCTATGTTTGCAAGCAAATTCTGAAACAGAAATTATTCCTTCCAAAAACGTTGTTCTTGGCCATTCTTTAGTCCCTATTTTATTTTAATAGGTTTGTTTAATAACAAGGGATATTCTGACAGCTCTCAATTATACAAAGAGTGAAACTTTATATTCTAAATGATTGTGTTACTCAATCCTGGTAATTATATGATTTTTGATATATTAATTTAAATATATCACAGTTTGCTTATTTAAAGAAGAAGGTGATAGTAGATTAAAACCATTAGCTTGAGGAAATCGGTCTTTCTTTTTCTATAATCTCTCACATAATAATTAAATAGAGCTTTCAGACAAAATCGTAAATTTTTCAATCACGTGACGGAATTCGGTATGTACGCTCGCGTCCCTTTTTGGTCATTCCATTGCGAGCTATGATTTATAATTTACGTATATATATATTGTTTTACGTACAATTTTTCTATGATTTAGTCCTATTATTTGAATTAAATATTTCAGCTTATTTGTGCAATTCTTGGAGTTTGAATTTTTAAAGCAATTAAATTCTGTATATCAGTAATGCCATAAAGAAAAATCTGTATCAAACCTCTCATGGACAACATTTATGTTTTGTAAAAAGTAAACAATTTCTCAATTTGTTTTGTTTTTTTGTTTTTGTTTTTGTTTTTTTTTTTGTCGTTTATTTAGTATTAAAACTAACATGTTTATTTCGTACGCATTTTTATACTTGTATTATTTATTTTTATTTATTCTAAATATGTAGAGAATTACGCCAGGCGTTGGGTCAGACATGAAAAAGAAGACTTTGACACTTTGTCAAAATGGATTAAATTTATCAGATATATGTTAAAATCTCGCATTAAACGATTGAGGGGCCGGGAGAAAACTATCTATCCTTCTGTATTCAATAACACAGAAATAAAAAAAAAATTGATATATTACACGATCAGTACGTACTGGTCCCTGCTGAGAAAGCAAGTAACAACATTGTTCGTATGGCTCATTATATAAATTGTATTTTAGAGGAACAAGATTTATTCTACGAGTGGTTATACAACTTATACCCATAGCTCCCTTCCTAAGACCCGGGGAAATTCTTCAAAATCATATGTTAGTTTTGAATATTTTTAATATTCCCCATTGAATTACCATATCTATATTGGATTCATAAAAATCCTTATAAACAAAGATACATAACGGGTTACAGTAAATGTTTTACCAAGCCTCTTTTTTAACCCTCACTAAGATATTAACAGTAGAGGAGGAGAAACTTCAAGAGTACTGTGCAACAATATATTCGAGAAGTGGTGTAAATCAGATGTGGATACTAAAAAAATCCAAGGAACTTTCGGAACATTTGAAATCACAAAATTTTACCAAAATCAACAACATTAAAACTTTTTAACTTTATATACAACTATTCTCCACCATAAATTAAAGTCCAGACTTTCTAACATTGTTGACAGCTGATTTTTCAATAGAAATGGAGCTAGTTAATTTACTTACCTTGTCATTGGTCATTTGAAAAATCAATTTGTTAAAAAAAAAAACAAATTGATTGTACACACAAGTACTCTGAAGTTGACATTAAAAAGATGCTTGAATTTATGATTTACAATATCTATGTTGTTTTTGGAGACCAGGTCTTTCAAAAATCTATTGGAATATTCATGGGTACCAATCGTGCCCCGTTATTAGCAGACCTTTTTCTTTATTCATATGAAGCAGAATTTGATCAAAATCTTTTATGTGAAAAGAAGAAAAAAACTTGCTGTGGCCTTCAACTCCACATTTCGATATATCGACGACGTATTGCCAATCAACAATGTTTATTTCCATTCTTATGTCGACACGATATATCCTGGTGAGCTTCAGATAAAAGATACCACAGAGTCTGACACATCTGTCTCTTATTTGGATATTTTGTTAGAAAAAGACGTTAATGGTAATCTAACAACAGAGCTTTATGATAAAGCTTTATTTATGTTGACTTTAATTTTTCTATCGACAACTTCCCTAACTTATGCAGCAATAAACCCTTATCACCTGCACACGGGGTTTATATCTCTCAGTTGATTCGATACGCCAGAGCATGTTCTATGTATGAACGATTTCTAAATTGAGGTAAGTTATTGACAAACAAGTTGATGAAATAAGAATATCAGCAGTCTCGTTTAAAATCATTATTTCGTGAGTTCTATGGTCGATACAGTGACATTGTCAACAAAAACAATCTTTCATAAAGTCAAATGCTGACTGACATTTTTCATACTAATTGTTATGCCATTATTTACATACTAAATTGTCGACGGATTCCATTATTTCCCGATCATGACAAGGAGCACACGGCGGGTGTGACCGGTCTGCAGGGGATGCTCACTCCTCCATGGCACCTAATCCCACCTTTCATGTCTTAGAGGTCCGTGTTTGCTCTGCTCCTATTAAATAATGTTTAATGAACATTTGAGCTCGAATACTGTTCAATATCTTCATATATTTTATTCTCGACAAAGCCAAAATTTTATTCTTTGCCATTTTACACTATTGAATTTCGCGTTGTTTCTAAAATTAAAGTAGAACTCATTAGTACCTTAAGCAACAAAAGTTAAGATATGTTTTCATTCCGTTTACACGTTTTCGGGAAAGTATAAATTTTTTACATTTGTTGAAAATAAACGGTTTTTAAGTTTGCAGCTTGTACATGTATGGATAAATGATTTTTCGCTATCCTGTTAATTTTCAAAGATAACTCTTTGTCGCTCAGTCGACCAACTGTTGTTTATTAGTTGATGTTCAGTTCTATTTTTAGATTAAATTGTAATTGTTTGTGTAAGGAAGCACATTTTATCATGAAAATTATTAAAAATATTTTTTTAAAAAATATTTAAAAAAAAAAGATGAAAAAGTATCTGAAGCCATTTAATTTTATCTGATATCCAGCCCGTTTTGTTACCTTCAACGGGTTCATGCATTTAGAAGTATTCATATAAAGAATGGTAATTCGCAAAGCTTTGCAAAACTTTTTCTGATAAGCCTCTCGCAATTTCATTATTATATATAGATATAGTATTTCTGACTCAGGTTGATTTACTTCAACATGCTTCAGATGTCTTTGTCCCGAATTCAAGCAAATACGCATTGGTATTAACTGAGCAATAAGTGAATGATAACACGTAGTAGTAAATTGCGGACGTATAATTGTACTATAATTGGTTGATAGGGTTGTAAAGTTGCTTTGCTGGGCAAAATTATATGTCTCTATTTAATGTTACTTAATATGATGAGTAAGTATTTGTGAGATGTGCATATTACTTCTGTAAGTTTAGAATAAAGAATTCCAGGTGTTTTCGATCCTCAATTTAATTTTTTCGTGTAAATTGCTAAGTAAATAATTCTAATGTTAAAAAATGATAAATCGCTGGACAGGTGTTTTCGATTTTCAATACAATACTCATCTATATAAGGAGAAACCGAACATCGAACAGTGACTGGTGGATCCTGGCTGCCAAAGGGTAATATATATATATATATATATATATATATATATATATATATATATATATATATATATATATATATATATATATATATATATATATATATATATATATATATATATTGAAAATAATTATCCGTTGTTAACGGATAGAATATTTACTTTACATCGTAGGAAACCTCTCCTAAAGAAATAGCAAACTCTCTTCTGAATATTCATTCTATTCTCCATTCACCACTTACCTAACAGTCATGGGCATATTATTCTACAGGTCGACCGCCTGACACAGTGTTTAGAGTCTTTGATAAAGATCGCGGAGTAAGGGGTTGATCCTTACGTTGCGGTTTCGAATCCCTTTACGGGGCGTGGAGACCGGTCCTTCGAATGATATCGAATAAACCGAGGCCGGATGACGGAGAAGGTGCTAGCAAGAAAACGATTCCTTACTGTTCAATGGCCTTGGGTGTCGAGTATAGGTTTTAAATTTGCAGCCTTCCCTCCTTCGAGTGGTGGCGTCTCAATATGAGTAAAAAATTCTCGAAAGGGAAGTTAGACAAACAAAACAAACAATTACAGTTCATGATCTTTCGCCAAATGTTCCTCTGTTTGCGCTCACATTCGCACAGTGTTTACTTCATTATCTCTAAGTAAGTTGCTGATCTGTGTTCTCCATTTGCTCACAATGCATTTTAACTTCCTACTTGTTAACTAAAGTTGTGCTAGATTTAAGTAATTAAAAAACGAAATAATACGCTTATATAAAATCAAATCGAGACAATACAGTAGTGTTCTGTTACACTTACTATTTGATTAAAAAATTATTGATTATGAAATTGAGTGATATAAAGAACAGATCAAAGCGTACTCTCTTTATTTTTCTATTATGATTGCATGACTGGAAGAAAAAAAAAACTATGCAACGTAAACTGGCCTTTAACACTATATGTTAGTCAACTTTTGTGTTTTAAAGTTTCTATCCTGGAGTTCGATTGCTCGAAAGCATGCAGATTGTTCGTTTATTGCTGCTTTCAATATCTATATTTTATCTTGATGCTTCAATTACTTGAAAAAAAAAAAAAAAGAAAGAAAAAGAAAAACAAAATAAAACCATAGAAACTGACCTTTAACACTATATATTAATTTTATTTTGTGTTTTAGAGTTCATATCCTGTAGTTCGAAATCATGCATATTATTCGTTTATTGCTGTTTGTGTTCCTGCTGGTCTTGATCGCTGATCTTCAAGCAGACGTAGGCGATGATGTTAAAGAGGCATCAGAGGCTGTAAAAACCGGGATAGAAGCAACCAATGCTATCACCGAAATAGTGGCTGGTGTCAAGGTCCTAGCTAAATTCACAAAAATAATGGGTTCAATAGCTCCCTTTTTGGCCGCAATTGGACCACTTATGGATATCATAACCCTGTTCCTTCCGAAACAAGAAGATCCAACTTTAACTTTCTTAAAAGAACAGTTTTCAAGGGTAGATTCGAATTTCAGAAATATGGAAAGACTTTTCAGCGAAGTTACTAATCTAATTAAATCGAAAGCCATCAAGTCGCAGTTTTCAGGTATTGAACAGAATGTCAACGCTTTGTCATATCGACTACACATGTTAATGAAAGCCCCAAAAGATGCTGTAAAAGGTCAAAGATCGCGCTTTATCACGGCATTTAAGGTCAGTTATCAAAGTGCAGCCAAAAAAATATATAATGGCATCATGACCAAACAATCTTTTACAGACAATATTCCAAATGAAGCTATGGCATATACAAATAACGATCGCAAGAAAATGCAAAAGGTAATGGCTGGATGTGTAGGACTTCTCATGACAGCTGTGAAGGTAAATTTAGCCTTTTTGCAACTCTCGAATAGAAAAGCCAGCTACAAAATGGAAAAAAAACGGAATGGGAGAAAAACATAAAGATAGTTTTACAGAAAGTGAAAGATGTGGATACGCAAGTCACTAATGCATGGGAAGGTCAAAAGATGAAAGATTTGGAAGGCCTCTCGGCACAATACAAGGATGACAGCCACACACAATTTGCAAACCGTCTGTTCAATTTTTACTCGAAGAAATATTACTGGAGGGATTGGGTCGTCATTGTGTACAATAAAATGGCTAAATCGTGGACTGGAAAGAACGGACACGCTTTTAAACTCTGCGGCGGGGACGAATACCTGGAAAAAGACGGTAGAAATGTCTTAACATCAAGCGTACCAAAGAAGAAACACAAAATAAACAAAGGCCATTACAAAAAAGAATTAAGTAAAGTAAGTACTGAGACTGTAGTATGGATTCATTATGCTTGGAAGGCAAAGTCTGTTATGAATCAGATTAAAAAGTTTAGTGGATCCGATGTGTGCATGCAAGCTGTCATCTCTGACCGGGAGGGTGTGCATGTCAAAAGTGCACCTGGCCGCTTAGCCAGCAAGTGGAAATATTTCTATAATATGTACGTCTTTGGGTAAAATGTATGATGCATCTCAGCATTTTACCAAATAAATTATGAAGCAGCATAATATGCTTGGTTTATTGTATTTGTAACGATACTTCTGTATGGAAACAGCTGTAAGGCATACATTTTACAATTCAAACTTACAACAATATTTATACTGCATTGATAATCTTTTCTTCAAAATACGTGTTTGTTTATTGAATTTTAGCCGGTACTGTGTAACGATGCATTGCTGGAATATCCCAAAAAATACTTGTCTATGGGTTTTCTCACGGTAGATAATGTTCTAAGTTTGATTATAAATAAAACAGTATTCCTTATAATTAATGTCATTTAGATTAACTTGAATTTCACAAATACTTAAATTTAATTAAGAGCAACAAAAACTCGTAAAATATCAAACAATTATTTAATGCATATAACAATTTCTATAAAAAAAAAAAAAAAAAAAAAAAAAAAAAAAAAAAAAAAAAAACACTGAATTTATAGAAAAACATTCTGCAATATTAGAAATGCTTTTTTTTTTTTTTTTTTTTGTTTTTTTGTTTTTTGTTTTTTTGTTTTTTTTTTTTTTTTTTTGTTTTGTTTTTTTTTTTTTTTTTTTTTTTTTTTTTTGTTTTTGTTTTTTTTTTTTTGGTTTTGTTTTGTTCTGTTTTGTTTGTTTTTTTCTAAACCAAAGGATCAAAAGAAAAGATAATACAAACCATTCACAGAAAAGTACGAATATGCTTATAAATGGTTCTTTCCGTGGAGAGCAGACGAAGTAGGAGATGGGGCTTTTCGTGATTTACTATAAAGCAATTAATGATAATATATAGCAATAGTAATTGATCTTCTCCTGTAGACTACGTTTTACGGAAGAAAATACTGCTCAAACAACCCGCTTGTTCCTTAAACTTCAATATCCCAGCAGAGGAATTGACGCAGTTAATATGAGTAATATTCTGAAACACAAAAAGATCCAGTCTTGTATTCTATCATATTTCAAGTTAAAGTCCACAACTTGTATTTCTCATAATTATACATCGAGTATTACTTCCAAACTTTTTAATAAAAAAAAAAGAGAAATCTACAGTGCCTAGATATCGAACATCTGAAACACAACCCTCCTACGTGTAATCGTTCTTCCTTACCCTACAACTATCTTTCTACTGAACACGACATTACTGGTGAAGTAAATGTTGTTAATAATGAGGACTTTAATTCACTTATTTGAAAAGGACCAAAATTTAGGGAACTACGATGTTTCAGCTGGCATCATAATTTCATAAATATTGTTAATTCTACAGAAGATTGCGCCAGGCGATGGGCCAAGCATGAAAAAGACCTTCACACTTTGTCAGAATGGATTAAAAGTATCTGATGGATGTTAAAATCTTAATTAAAAAAATAAGCGACTGAGGGCATTATGAAAACCATTTATCTTTCTGTTTTAACGTAGGTCGCGGGTTTGCTGACGTCGTTAAAACTGAGTACGCAATTTATATGATTTGGACGACTTTCTTGTGCACATTTGATTATGACGTCACAATGAGAAAGACATTTTTTTTAAATCTGAAGTATTCACAGATTGAAAACTTTTTACGATTTTTTTAATGTTTGAAAATCGAAAGCGTTAGAAAGAGTTTATTTATCATCACATTGACAACACAACAGTATTACGGAAAGATAGGGAGCAACTGAACAAGTGTCAACTGCTTTATTATATTTTTTCCTTTGACGTAATTTAATAAAAAGTTTGTTACACTGATAAACTGTCATTATGTAAACAACCGCAGTTACAACTGTTACATAAAAAAAAATAAACTTTATTTTTAAAAAGGAAATTTTAAAAATACATGTATATCTATATCAGAATTGAAAAACTGCTCAGGTATGAAGCAGAAAGCATAAGAACGACACAGACCTTCTATAATAACAGCTTACAATGCTGTTAGCTTCAGATTTTATCTAATTTTGCTTTCCCGGTAGAGCAAGTTGCCATATAAATTGAAAAGTCGCTAAAAATAAATCTCGGCAGTTAATTGTAGCCTTTTGATAAGGCAAGATAGAATTAATTTTTAGATTCTCATCTCCATTTACCTCTTTCAAAGTGTTTCCTCCGATGGCTTTTAAAAAATTCTTTTCAGAAGTAATTAATTATAAAATCAAGGTAAAAGTTTGAGAGGTATCCACAACCGAGTAAAGAATAAATAATAAAAAAAAAAAAAAAAAAAAAAAACGGCGAGGAATGCAGTGTAAATGCACCATATAAATACAGATATATATAGATAATTGTAATAGTGATGTTTAACTAGATTTAGATACATCTGTTATCATAGAAAGATTTGAACAAAGTGAAAGTATTGCGACGAAAAAATTATTAAAGCTTCAAAATAGCGTCTCGGAGCTAGAGGTACTTGTGTGTTATTTCGCCTGATTAAAAAAGATCGCTGGCAGACTTATGAGGAATTCGTGCTAAAGAAAAAAGGGATATTAATTCGGTAGGAATCTGAGGAGGAGCTTGTGCCGCCATATTTTTTTCAATGTACATGTATATAAATTACTCTAGAAAATCGAGGTAATTTACAGTTGTTGTTCCCCTCGATAATATTGCCAGTACATGAAAATATTATACAAATTAGAAAGCAGAGCTAATTTGCGGTTGTGTCCCCTCAAGAATGTCTGCTTCAGGCCCGTAGAACGCGGGGGGTGGGGGGGGGTGGGGGGGGGGTCCCCCACTTTTTTTCTGAGTATAGTATTTTGCTACAGTAATTTTTCCTATAGATGCATGCTGGTCCCCCCCCCCCCACCCAACAAACACACACACACACACTTTTTGTTGCTGTTATGCCGAGCCTGGCAAATCCAGGATTTGGACAGCTTATTAGTTTTTTTTATTGTTTTTTTAGGTTGCCCCCCCCCCCCCCCTTATTGAATCCATTGCTACGGGCCTAAACGTGGGTCTGTATTTGTTAGATTTTGCCCCCTCCCAACTAAAAATTGCATCCTATGATCCTGTGTATCTTGGTATCTTTAAAAAAAACGCTCATGAAAGACTAAATTCTTTAAACTATTATAACACCATGTTTTGCAAATACTTTGACAATATCGAACGGTATCGAGAATGAAAAATCGGACGCTCAAAAAATGACAAAGTTCAGTGAAAAATTGTGATCCTTTCATATAAAACACGAGTAGTTCTTGTTTCTTTTTATATATATATACCAACAGAATGGGATTTATTTGGAAAAACGCTGCATGACGACATGTGGTGATACCACAGCGACATCCTGTTAAAAGAGCAGTTGTTTGAAACGTATGTACTCGTATTTATAAGCATTATCAATGTGAAAATTCCGTATACAGGTCATTTGAAAGCATTTGATATACGTATCACAGGCATCGGAAGCAAATTACATCTAGAATACAAGTGTGTTGGGGGTCCAAACTTCGTTGATCAGTATTAAATTAAGAAAACGTCTATTTATTAGCACGTCAGCTGTTCCTTGTGAAGATTATTTATTTAGGATTTATATCAAGCAAAATGAAACGAAAATTAGTCTTCGATTGAGGACAATATGGGATATATAACATGTATCATTTTAACCCGACAGAGAATAGATATGTATTTGTTGAAAAAAAAAAAATTATACTCATCCCCTACCACATTTGCCCCTAAATAATAGTTTTACCTAACCACTCACCATTTTTCTTCCCTAACGTTTTGGCGAATACCCATTTTCTTACTTGTGTCCTTTCTGACATATTTTATTTTATCAAATAAATTCTGCAGTCATATTGCAGAATTTATTTGATAAAATAAATATGTCAGAAAGGACACTTGTCAGAAAATTTTAAACTTTTTTATCTAATTTTATTGTCTAATTAATATTCGCTCCCCCATTCTTGTAAGAAAAAAGACTCTGAATCACGCTAGGAGTACTGCTCCTGCAAGTCCCCCCCCTTCAGCCTTCTCTCTCTCTCTCTCTCTCTCTCTCTCTCTCTCTCTCTCTCTCTCTCTCTCACAAACAGCTTAAACAAAGTGTTTCAGACAAGATACATTGCTACATAACTCATACATCTGTGCTTACTTTAAATACAAATTTTACATTAAATATGCATTGTATATTAACATAAATTTCTTTCTACTTTTTGTTTTTGTGCACTTTATACCGGACCGTAGTCACGACGTCAAGCGTGACGTCGCTATAGTTTATAGCGTCATTCTTAAAAAATGCCACATTTTGCAATGTAAAAACAATTATTCGCATTTAAATTACGAGAAAACTAACTCGAAGACATATTAATTTTTTTACATAGATTTATCTGAAATCAACTTTGTGTGAAATGACCAAAAGGGAAACAATTTTGTCTGCACCATTTAAAAGTTACTGAGATTTTTTGAAAAGAAATCTTTCTTGAAAACGAGTCAAAAATGACGTTTTCCCTATAGAATTCAATAGAATAACGTAGAAAATGTTACAACAACGATGACATGTTTGGGATTTAATAACGCAAAAGCGATGCAGACGAATTTTATAAAATTTTCAGAGAATATACAACAAAAGTAGGAGATTCATATATGTAATTTTCATGATATGTTTTCGAGCAATTTTAA